TTCAATGGATGCAAGACTTGTGAAGCTGCTATCAAATAAGGGGTCCTATGTTAAAATGTAACATGACCTGTTAAAATGTTTAAAAAGTTAAAATGATGTTATAAGTTTGATTGAAATAGCTTTTGATTTCAGTAAATATGCTGCAAATTCAACAAATGACAATGTTCGGTTATTTACAACCGATAAAGTGTTTTGAAACTTACTTTGCGTAATAATTTGGAACAGTGCATTGTAAGTTTTTTATGTTTAAAAAAATACTGTTATCATTAGGAGGTTTGTTCAATAAAATTTGAACTGTACTCTTAATAGTTGATAACATGAGAATTATGTTGTTATTTACATCAATTATTTAGGTAAATGAGAAAAATATCATTTGCATAATAATTTGGAACAGGGTGTATATGTGTGTGTGTCTGTGTGTCTGGATGTGTGTGTGTGTATGTCTGTCTGTGTCTTTATGTATATGTCTCTGTGTGTGTATGTATGTGTGTGTATATGTGTGTGTCTCTGTATATGTGTGTGTGTCTATGTGTGTCTGCATGTGTATCTGTTTGCATGTGTGGGGGAAGGAAACGTATGGGAGGGGGACGGTAGATGTATGGGGGGGTGGCGGGAGGTAGACGTATGGGGGGGAGCCCAGGGCAATTTTCGCACCGGGGCCCCATGGTTTCTATTTATGCCTCTGCTGAGCCATGATTGCAGTTGGTGAGGGACAACCTCAATTACGCATTGCAGCAGTTAGAGGAAGTGATCACTTCCTCCAAGTACTTGCTAACTGGAAACCTGCACTGGTGTAAAGCAGGCCACAGCAGCTATCGCAGCCCCTAGGCTTTACCTAACTTGGCCAGCCCTGTACCCAATGGACCCCAAGAAATCCTAGCACACTGCTAGATATACAGAGAGCTGCAGAAGAAGCTCATACAAATAAGAGAAAAGTTCCCCACACACAAACACCCACAAATACAACACCACTGACAATCCACATACACGCATACAACCCCACAAACAGTCCTAACCATACAATACCACAATCCGCCCCACTCATCAAACACACAATGTGACACATCATCCAGACTCACAATTCCACGAGCATATACAGCCCACATTTAATCACATATCATACTCAATACTACAAACTTATAATATAACAGCCCTTATACACACAAATACAATGTTACAAAGCAATGGCACCCATAAATAACACAAGTGCAATAAATCAACATACACACTTCAATTTATAAAAATAGGAACATTGTGCCAAGGGACTGCAAAGTCTTGTTTTGGCAGTACTACTAAGAGGTTGCAACTCAATTATGGTACTATTTTTGGTGTTGTGAGATTGGAGTTTATTTATTTTATATGCTCTATTAAAAGGACAATATAGGCACCTAGACTACTTCAGCTTATTGAAGTGGTCTGGGTGCAATGTCCCTGGCCCCCTTAGTCCGGCAATGTAAAACATTGCAGATTTTGAGAAACTAGACAGCCACTAGAAGCACTTCCTGTAGGTTTCTAGACTCTAGGTTACCTAAATGACGCTGGACATACTCACACTCTGCATGAGGACATCCAGCATCAGTGAAATCCCCATAGGGGATCGAGCTGCATTGAGTAGTCTGTGATTGGACAGTCACAGAATGTCTGGGCGGGGTTATAAGAGGAGGGTTTGCAAAGGCAACAGACAAGAGATCTGCAGCTTTAGCAAGCTGTTTTTAGATATAACTCCAATGAAAAATGCATAATGAAATACATGTATGGTTTTTTGAGTTAAGGATTTATCTACTAAATCGTGATTTTTATTTATTTATTTTTGTATTTGAGCAGTGGAGTTTTCAATTTAAGTATTTAAAGAAAACATTATTCTCATTATTCTCAGAGGTTGTATTTTGGTGATCCACTGAACTTAAAGGTGCTGTCAATGTGAAGTGATCAAAGTAAAGTTATTGGACAAAAATAGCAAAATCACACTATTTGCTATGAGCAAAGGAGAACAACGTTGGATCAAAGCTAATGCTAGGTCAATAAGGGTCAATTTCTAGGCACAAAAGACTTCCATGGGTTGGCACTGCCAAGAAGCATTTAGATATTTTTTATTTTCCAGCTTTAAAAAGTTGTATATATATTCCGAGATATATTTCCAATAATTACTAGAGAGTATCATAACAGAATCTATCACCTGCATGATAGTCAAAAAGTAGAGAAAGGTATGTCTGACAAGACTTGCCTATCAACGAACGGTAGATGGTTGACAGGAAAGGTCTGGTAGTGAAAGGGTAGGTGATAGTATGGGTGTCTGTCTTGCTGGCAATGAAAGGGTGTGTGGGTATGTCCCTTTACTCCCTCCCAAGTTGTTTACACTGTAAAAGTGGCCACACTTGGGGGGGGGGGGAGGTATAACAGAGTGCATGCGGGTAGATTACAAGACTGCACACTAAAAAGGTTTAGCAGGGCACACTAGATGGTATAAGAGGGTACACTGGGTGGTATGCATTTTTATTATCACAATATACCACTAGATGGCAGCAATTAGGCATCTAGTAATGCTGTAAATCCGAGCTAACATCTGTTTGCAGTCAGATTCTCAGGGAGAAATTCTCGTTCTATAAATTAGGGTTGTATTGATAATGTGAATCATTGAAATTGTTCTGCTTTGTAAGGATTACATTTTTTGTTGCCTGTTGATTCAGAAGATTAAAGGGTTATTCCAAACATAATAACCACTACAGCTCACGGCAGTTTTTTTTCCAATATATGCAGTGCAGTTTTTACGATGCTAGGGGTACCAGTGTCCTCTTTCCTGGTAATGGTGGGGATATTGTTTTTGCAATCATTCGCCCTCTTACAATGTCCTGCTGGGTCCCTGGTCTCATTTAATACTGGCTGTACTATGCATCTGGTTTCATTGGAATCCGATCCTGTCGGCCATTTGTTGACGGTTAAATAGTTAAAAAGTCTACAGTCGTCACAACGTAGGGTGAAAACAAAAAGTAGTATTTATTGTGGGTCAAGCAGGACAAAAAGGGGCGGAGCCTAGCAGCCAAGCTGAACGGCTGCACATCAGAAGAGCTCCTCATTAAAAACACCTAAATTAAGCCTGAAAATACTCTTTAAGCCTAAAAACTGCCTGCTTCTTAGCTTCCAAGAGGAGGGCTTAACACAGAGGAAGTGTACAAGCGAGTTCATGGCCGAAAACGGCAACGAGGGATCAACCTGAGGCCTACTAACGGCCTACTCAGAAGGCACGGGGGAAGCGGCCAATCACCCTGCTGACTGCAGCCAACTTACCTGGAGGTCTCCCGACACACTCACTCCCCCCCCCCCCTGCCGGAGAGGGATATCCTGGCACACGGCTCACACCTCTGGTACAAAGCACCACCCTTGGCATAACTGCACTACCGGTCCGGCGCTGCATAACATGGCGGATGCCATGTGCCAGCCAGATCGTGGAACTGCCCCACTCTCGGAACGGCTGGACCGCCCAATGGCAGACTTCTGGGCCAAGCTATCGGCTCACTGAACCACCCCAGCAGAGACACCAGCGGCTACAACCATGCAGGTCACCGCGCTACAGCCCACGGCTCCAGGATGGGGCCAAATTACACTATGGAAAGCGGGGAGGAGAAGGCGGGAAACCGGCGGTGAGTCACCTAACTGAAAGGAGACAAACCCCAGGACTATCCACCCAAACCCCCCTCCCCGCACGCTGATCACAACCCCACCTGGGCAAAGACACCATGGTGGAGACCACCATACTCCCAGGCACAGCCCAGTACCACTACCTAAAAGTGCTGTGGCGCGATGGGCGACCTCCTCATATTCACCAAACTGCCTTAACAGAGGATACCAACCACCGTAAGATCCACTATCCCCACAAGGGACAACAAGCCCACGACATGCTCATCACAAGACAGGGGACTTATGCAACCATACCCTCTGACTAAATCCCGGCTGGACACTGGAAGAGCAATGTAACGGATCACCTGGCACCCCGACTGGGTACCTCTGTTGAAGGATGCTCCTAGCGCTTCCTGAGGAATCCAAGCACTGCAGCAGACACCACAATCACCGAACCAGAGAAGCGTATACCTTCTCTCAAGCATATGAATGCTGTAGACAGTTGAATAGGAACCATACGAATAGGTTTACTCTCCTAGCAGTCAAACTGGAACAGCATACAATGAATCCTTCCCCCAATAATGAGACGACACTTCACTTTGAGGGTTAAAACAGGAACTCTCTGTACTGTCACATACAGTCTCTTTTATTCCCAATCCACAAACATAGTACAGCCCACAGGGCGTTACAAAACAACCAATCACATATCAGTTACATCCCACATATTCCCTCCCCTTATCCTGAGAGGAAACTCAATTAAACATACAGTTAAAACATACTTTCTACCCAACTTTCATAACTCCAAAACCATACATCACATTCACATAAAATTACATATTCACAATCAATCCATTCAGGGGAACAACATATTCAAAATGGCACAAATCAGACAAGGGGTTCAAAAGTTAGTAAAAAGTCCTTTGTGACTAAATGAAGCATGGCTTTCTGGCCCAAACCAGTTTCAGAGTCTTCTATCCTGGAGAGTAATTCAATTATCTCCCAGGATAGACACAAGACTTCATTAAGCACATGGTTGCAAAAAGACACAAAACACTTTAGAATACATAAAGTCACATTTACACATAACACACAGACATTTCACATATCCCCAGATAGCTGGGATCTGAGTGCACATTATTAGATGAATGGCACTCAGATCACACAAATAAGCCTTTCTGCAGGGGAAATAAACAGTTTAACCTGCAGGGCCATAGTCCAAAGGGAGCAGGCGAGCTACCAGGCTTCTCCAGTTCACAGTGGCGAGGTTGGTTTCGCCACAAGCAATGACTGGGGGGACCCTCACTGCCTACTGCTCCGAGCACTAACCTGACGGCTGATGGGGATCGGTTAGGCCACACAGGCTGGACATTGCGTTACTTAATACAGACGCAGCACACTAAGCTTAACACAATGTGTGCACTCAATTTTTTGCCTACACCTGAGCTGGCCATCTTGCAAGCAAGCGACATATATATAATTATTAGCGCTAGTGGAATCCTAAAAATGCAGAAATCGTTAAACAAATGTCACTATCCCTTTCACTCATGCATAATCTGCAATAGAAATGCCTTAATCTATAGTGCTAAATGTATGATCTTTTGCTATGTCTATACTCGTATCTTACCTTTTCTGTTGAGCAGCATAGAAGAACTCCTAGATAAGCAACATTACTATATAAAATATGTGCAGTACTCTCTCATGCCTAACTGATGGACCTATATGTTAGCAAACTGCTTACCCTAGCATTGTAAGCCTGATGTGATATATCCATGCACAAATAAAATAAAGAATTAATTAAAAAAAACAGGACAAAAAAAATAATACAATGTTTCGGCCATGATCATGCCTCACAGCCTACACATTGTTGGAAGTTGTGATGCCTGTGGACTTCTATATTTTACTGTTTCTGGTGGGCGGTGGACCCCCTTTTACGTAGCTCCCTTGTATTTTTGACTTTGGCCATTCATTGACTGACAGCGTCAGCTGACCGCTCTCAGCGGGTGATTGCAGTTCAGTGCATAACATTGAACTCCCCACCTTCCTCCATTTATAACAATTTTAAATCAACAGTGATATAAAAAAAAAAAACACTCCAAGCAGCATAACCTCTACAGTGCAGAGCTTAGAAGCTTTTGCCAGCTCTGCTTAGGAGCTTCCGTTAGCCCTCTGTCTGAGCTGAGTAGTGCAGTGCAAGGGTAGCTTATTGGCTGGGAGAGCTGCACTGCAGAGCTTAGCTGAGACAGAGATAGAGGTAGTGCAGGTGGGGAGTGTTACACTACAGACTCTAGGTAAGAAGTCAAAATCTGTAAAGTGGTTTGACTCCTTACAGCTGAGGGGCGCAAGGGACCATAACCACTACAGATGCAGTAGTGGCTCTGGTTCTTGAACTGCTCCTTTAACCTTGGTAATTAGAGATGACTTATTGTACATATGCTATATGCATGATTTTAAGACACCTGTTAATATTTTATAATTCAAGCGAGTTATTTCACTAATTAGTTCTGCTATTAAGGTTGATAACGTTAAAATCACAACATTAAAGGACCACTATAGTGCCAGGAAAACATACTCGTTTTCCTGGCACTATAGTGCCCTGAGGGTGCCCCCCCTCCCTCAGGGTCCCTCTCCCGCCTGGCTCTGGGGAGAGGAAAGGTGTAAAAACTTACCTTTTTCCAGCGCTGGGCGGGGAGCTCTCCTCTTCCGATCCTCCTCCTCTCCGCCCATTCGGCTGAATGCGCACGCGCGGCAAGAGCTGCACGCTCATTCAGCCGGTCGCATAGGAAAGCATTTACAATACTTTCCTATGGACGCTTGCATGCTCTCACTGTGATTTTCACAGTGAGAATCACGCAAGCGCCTCTAGCGGCTGTCAACGAGACAACCGCTAGAGGCTTTGGAGGAAGGCTTAACCCATTTATAAACTGAAACTGCTATGTTTATAAAAAAAATGGGTTATTCTCTGAAACTGCTATGTTTATAAAAAAATGGGTTAACCCTAGCTGGACCTGGCACCCAGACCACTTCATTAAGCTGAAGTGGTCTGGGTACCTAGAGTGGTCCTTTAAGGGTTTAATATATATTTATAAACAAGGTCTATCTGAAAAAAGTCCAGCTATTGCTAGTATAACAAGAATGGTTTGCGCGACATCAACGTAACTTGGCAGCCAAGGAGAGTGGACTGGAATGTGCATGAGTGAATAATGATGACTTCACTGTACTAGTCTATGGGGATGTTAGACGCCAATGAATGAGCATGTGTACTGTGTGGCAATTGCATTCAAAATGACTGACTGAATAAAGCAATGAATCTGCATCAAATTATGCATTAAGCTTGAACATTCCTCTGCGGAAACTCTTCGGATGATTCAGAAGACTTTCAGGGACGATGCAATGAGCACAGTGCTAATAAAAGTGTGACACAAACATTTCAAATATGGTTTAGAATATGTTTAAAGTGATCCATGTTCTGGAAGGCCTGCAAAGCAGAACACCTGTGAATGTTGAACGTGTACAGACTGCAATCAACAAAGTTTGGCGACTGCCAGCACGAGAGCTAGAAACCTATTCTGGGGATTCCAAAAACTAATATGTCCAAGATTTTGACACAGGATCTTGACATGAAACATATCATGGCAAAATTTGTTTGGAAAACGGCCGCAGCTGAGCTTGTCAAGGAGGTAGATCGGGGCAGAGCCAGCACAAGCCAAACACAGCTCTGGACAATCAGCATCTCAAGAGATGCATTGAAATGATGCAGAGGGTGGAGGCATTGAATATCAGCACTGCCCCAGGAAGCACCTCTAGCAGCCATCTGAGGAGTGGCCAGTGGAGCTATCCCTAGGCTGTAATGTAAACACTGCATTTTCTCTGAAAAGACAGTGTTTTACAGCAAAAAGCCTGAACGTAATGATTCTACTCACCAGAACAAATTCAATAAGCTGCAGTTGTTCTGGTGACTATAGTGTACCTTTAAGTAACTCCCTGAGATGTTACATAATATCAGGTGACATTTTGTCCTGTGGTGTCACGCATATATAATTAATTTTGCAAATTAGAAAGACTGCTATTTTTTTCCAAAAAAAGATGGCAACCCTACTGGGAGAGTATGGCTTGATGCAATGGGGACTATCAGCTGTGGATCAATGGAAAGGGGAAAGTAACTGGGGGATTAATGGAATGAGAGCTGAGAATAGAAAGATATATAAAGTATAGACGTAACTAAATATAAATGTATCTGAGGAAAGTTGCCATTTTTCTCCAAATAGCTGATATGGATCTTCTCCAGCTTTGACATAACACTTGAAATTGCATTGAAAATTCTCAACAATACAAAGTATAGTGAAACATGTTCACCTTGGTCTCGCTTTAGGAAGTAGCATTTAAGTGTGCATGGCTGGGACAGCACTGTCCTCGAAGACAAGCAGCAAATTGTCTGTAGCCAGCCCTTAGAAACCCAAAATATGTGCCCACAATGCAGATGTTTGTTATGCAAAATGAAGGAGCTGACTTACTGGCATGTGATAAATGTAATCCCTTGGAGTTTTTCTGAGATTCTGAGTATTTAAGGCTAAGCCCATTTTGGAACGTTCACAACATGTCCCTGCCTAATTGCCTAGCAACACTGCACAGTGATCTTTAACGGTTAAGGATCAGCTCGATTGCTCACTTAAACTAAATCAAAGACTATGAGATAGACATTTGTTTAATTTATTTTAACTAGAAAAAGACATGAACAAGTTTACTATTTTCAGTTAAATTTGTTGCAGCAGTGATAGTTACACCACATTACTGTCATCAAGGGATTTTATATGATTAAAGAAAACCTCAAAACACCATAACCACTACAGCACACTGTATTGTTTACGGATCCAAGAGTATCATTACCCCCCACCCCCACCCACCCACCCCCATTGTGATTTCAAATGTTTTACAATCGGTAGATTTTGTACTTTGGGTCTGCCTTGTGCCGCTCCCGCCTTTCTACTTCATATGGAAAGCCAGGAGTTCTCTGAGCTAAGCTTAGTGGTACGGAGAGGTTCCTGCTCTCCAAAGGAAGTAGTGCAGGTCTTGTGTGGCCACTAGTAGGCCTCCATGTAAAAAGTCATACCATTCGAGAAAATTCTGGCTATTTACAATAGGGGTGGGGGGGGGGGTTCAACGGCTCTCCTGAAACCATAACCACTACAGCAAGCTTACTGTTAGACATTTATGAATATTATTCACAAGATCAGCAAGAATTAAGATTGGCACCTTATCACATTCTATATCTTTCTCAGATGTAGGAACGTGTACTGATAGTTATAACTAACAGCTTGTTTCAAATGTTGTCAAATGTTGCTCACTATCCCATCTGAAATATTTCACCAGTAAGAACAGGAATATAAAGGCCGCCTTACAGTTAATGGCTCCCATGGAGTATGATTGGAGCTAATTTCAGCCTTGTCACTGTAGTTTATGCCCATTAGCTATCCCACTAAATATAAAACTGTCTCTGCCACAAAAATCGAATTAACAATAGCAGTTGTGACTGGTGCAGTTTTGAGATGATTGGATGCCTGACTCCTCCTTCTAGTCCTATCTCTGGAAACCCCACCTCTCCACTTCCTGATTTGTTGGACTCATACATTTTGCTTAGCGGGTTTAAAATTGCTTAGTCTAATGAGTTGTTTGACCTTTGCTATGATATCAAAATATTTACCTAAAGATTAAATAACTGTTAGTACAGAATAATCTGATTTAAGGAGAAGACATGAGGACACAGGAGAAGACAATGAACTGTACCTGTTGATTCAGCATACATACACGGTGCTGATATTGAAAACCCCTATAGATCCAAGTTTGTGGTCAGTTATCTCTGCACAAGAAATACAGCAAACCTAGATGGCAATTTTGCCTTCTTTGGGCATCATTGGTGGGGTGTAGCTAATATGTCTTTATGTCTAGTGAACACACCTTCATTATCCTTTTAACTGAGGGAGGCACTAAGCAAATACATTGAGGCAAGTAAAAAAACAGAGATTGTAGTAACACTGAGTGGCAAAAAACTACAGTTACCTGCCTCTTTGTTAGTCCCTATTTAGGTCTCTAACAAGTTGTGACTGACGTATGTTGCTGTTTGTGGGTAGCAATGAGTGATGGGTGTGGCTGTGTGGATGTTAGTGTCAGGATGAATTTTCTGAGTGTACTGTGTGTGAGGAGGCTGTGTTTGTTTCAGTCTACCCACAAACCGTGGAGAAGGGGGCCCTATGTTCCCTATTTCCTGTTGGTCCAGTACGGTCAATGTTGGCTCCCTGGTGATCGAGTGGGAGGAGCATGTGATATGTATCTCCAGTAGGTGCAGATAACTGTAGATGCTACTTCCAAGACAGAATTTAAAATGATATGCACCTGACCAAGCAGCAGACCGGCAGCTCCCTCGCAGCAATGAGGGACACAGAGAAATTCCAGTTGAAATTCCAGAGAAATTCCAGTTGATCTTTTGATCTCCTTGCCAGCTCGTGAGAGCCACCCACATCAAGACTTGCTTTGGCACTACCCGGCACACCTCATGCAGACGATTGCGTTTGAACATCTGATTAATCCCACATATAAGGGTAGTCCAGATCTGGAAAGTTGCTAAGTTCGATCTTCATCAGCAACTCCTGATGATCATTTCTGCCCTATTTGCACCTAATTGGTGAGGTGTAGCTGATATCTTCATA